ACCCCCAAAAAAATATTTTCCCCCCCCCCCCCCCCCTCCCTCGTGAACTCAACTAAGAGGCTAATGATAAATATCATAAAGCCTGCCACTTGAAACAATAATAGTCGAATTTAAAAGTCTAATGAGAATGAAAGTTGACAACACACGAAAGAGGAAAATAGAGAGTTAATGGGGTTAGAACCAAGTATAAAACTAGTCTTGTCCTTAATTGCCTATCAGGCATATATTCAAAGTTGAGTTTTTGAACATCTTGTATGCCGGTGGTCATCAATTATGTGCGAGACCAAAAGTTTCGATATCAATGCTAGTCAGTCAGCGCTAACCCACACACTAATTAGCAATGTAAGCGCAGTAGGTGGATTCAAGAATGCCTCCCTCAACGAAGCTTTCAATATAATTTCAGAAGATCGTCTTAGGCACCTCCCTCATTAATTATGCAAAATTAGAAAGAGACGCTACTAAATTAAATGCCTTCAGTAGCTTACGATTAAATGTGATATTTTGACAAAATAAACCACCCCCCCCCCCAATAATAAAAGCTTATTCTTTACACTAGATTTTACCCCCGAAATGCAGGGAACTCTAGCAAAAAAGAATGGCCATCTAATCCATTACGGAGCAATCGATACTGCTGTTGAAAGCATGAAAACATTATATAATAATTAAATGTAGATTGGTTCCGCAATTCGAATAAATTGGCATGAACATAGATCAAAACAAATAAAATGGCGACAATCACAGAGGAAACAAGGAACGATGGACCACCCTGAAAGAGGAAAGACTTCGCGGTGCAAAACAGTAGTCGAGGAGGATGTCGTCGGGGTCATTTGTGTGACTTTGGGTCCTGAAGAGGAGAACCAGCATTGAATATCAAATTATAAAGGACCAAGGCCATCTCTTTTCGACATTCCGAGGCATCCGGACAATTAAGAACGTCCCATGCCTCTGAACTTCGTGGACACGGTTGACGACAAAGGGGACATTGCTGACGGTTTTTCAACCCACAGTTACTCTGACTACGATTGGAAGATGGAGTAAATAAGGTTCTTTCCGAAGGCAATTTGAATGGAGTTTTAACCCTACACAAAAAATAATATTAATCAAGATTTCAGTAACACATTTATGTAGGCAGTATGATCTTCACCAGGTATTTATGCAATTTCTACAGAAGTCATGACCACAAGGCAAGATCGAATTTAGACAGGCATCAAGACAGAGAGAACAAGTTTCATCACTGGTTGGTCTATTTACCGCCATTGTTGGAAGTTGGCTGAATCGTTTAATTTCCTGGTACAAAACAAAGAATTCCCGAAAACTCAGAATTCTTTGAGATAGTATACTCGTATTCGAAATTTGAGTCTAAAAGAACAATTAGGGAAGGTGAGAGGAGACTTACAATGGTGCAGTTCACAACCACTGTCAATCTCCAAAAGACGTTTAGATAATGAATTGGCGCACATGAGAATTGGACTAAAATATCGTCTGGTTCATATAGCTTTTTAACCCTAAATTAAATTTTCAAATAATTGAAAATAGCAAAACATACAGATCATTTGCATTTGTCAGCATCTCTTTAAATCCATTGTAGGAGATAGAACTCACACGATTTTCTATATTAATAGATTTTTTCAATTTATCTGACACGTCATGGGCTATTTCTGTAGCAGTAGAGCTCACATTATAGGCAAAATCTAAATACTGGTTTGGTATATAGTTGAATTACCATCGAAAGGAGATGCATCCATGATAACATCAACAATAACGACAGCTTTGACAGTATCAAAAAGTTAGAATTATATTTTGACAAATCATTAACATGTAAATTTAATACAAAAGTTAAAATGATATTCATTGCAATTATCCTGCATTTAAACTAAAACGGATGCAAGAATAATGAAAAAAAGGGGAAGAAATGTGGCTACAGAATATAAATTAAATACATTATCATAAAATAATCAAAATTTCAAAACCAGATACTGCAAATGTCGAAATAATAGAGAGTCTAATTATTAAATAGCGCCGGACTCTTCAACTATTAAAACAATCAATAATCAGTTGTCAATTCGTTAAAATAGAATCATTTTGCTACTTTAATCCAAAATTATTTTTTTGATGATTAACAACTCCCATTGCAATGCCATAAATTGAATTTTTTAGCCTTTCATAATAGCTGAATTTATTTCATGATTTCTTTTGAATACTGAGGTTTAATTTGAACAGTTCAATGCCATAATACTTGAAATTTTGAAATTTGTTCATCGGTTTTGAAATTTGTCTATGTACACTTCAGGACTTCGTTAATTTTAGTCGCCTGGGCAAAATTAATCTATTATTTGAAATTCGACGTTTATCAAAATAAAGACCGAAGTGCACAGATTGGTCATCTCTTCTTCCGCCCGGAACCAGTGTGGAGGACAAAATGGTCGAAATGAATGGCTCCCGTTTTCTTCTTTCACTTCGAATGACTGACACTTATTTCTCAGCCGAAGAACAATACGTCAGACATGCTATTGCTAGAACTGAACGTTATCTCAACGAATGTCGATGGATTTGCAAACATGGTAATGCTACTACTTCTACTTTTATCACATCAGTAGCCTTTTACCCTATCTGAACTCAAAAAATGTCCTTGATTATAGTGAAACAACTCAATAACTTGTCTCACTTCACCATGGGTCAACTCGTCAAGTTCCACGTTGATGGTTTGACTGAAGAGGTTGTAACGGGGTGGGTAGCTCTACCGTCTTCGGGTAACTCAGAAGCTCAACGTGTTCCAGCTGCAGCTTTGCTCTTAAATACTGATGGTGTAGAATGCCCACTGGGTAGCACTCATGAGGCCGTCGTCACTTTGGCCAATCCCGATGCAGGCAAACTGGAAGTTGCCCTCCTGCCCTGGCTATTGAAATCGATAAAGCAACGTCGAGGTGGTCAGCTTGACAATTCTGCTATGCAAGTCCAAAAGGGACAAGTAATTTCCTCAAGCGTTGTCTCCATGGGGAACACAAGGGATATCGTTGTTGTTGCACTGAAACA